ATCCCAACCACGTTCTTTCTCCGAAATTTTCAAGTATTTGTGTTTTTCTTATTTTGAAGATTTTTAATTTATTTACCGCTTTCCAAATCTCATGTTTAAGTGTGTGTGTTTCATTTGATTGTTAGAATTAAATCGATTAAAGTCGTTCAATCTAAAGTAACATTCCTCGAGGGATCGATATCTCAAACTCTAAAAGTCCACTTTATTACTTGTACGCGACCTGTGCACTTGCGGTATATTTTCAAGCGAACAAAAACGTTGGCTAAGGTCTTCCACCGCATTAGAAGTCTCTCCTCCACTGCGACCCTCTTCACACAATCCCTACTTCCTATATGTTGAGAACTTAACTAAAAGTACATCGATTTGTTGTTGAAGTATTCGGGATTTGGATTTTTGTTGTTATGTAAGTTTTATCGTAAGGGAAAGGAGCAGTTTAGGTGCTTTTGTTTCAAAGATCCGAGTGAAAATTGATGAAAATTTGGAATTGGGGTTTTAATTTTGGAGATGCATAGAATTGAATTGCGCATTATTGTTATTTGAGTAGTCTAAGGTGGCAGTGGCAGATTTCTTGGTTGTTCAGTTTTGGTTGTGGAGGTAGAAGTGGTGAAGAAGAAGATGGTTTTTTTTTTTTTTGAAATTTAATTGTTTGGGATAATAAAAAGTTATCTTTTTACCCTTTTAAAATTAGTTAAAATATGGTCAAAATCAACTCTTCTAGTCAACTAACAATCAAATGAATGAAAATTATCCATATGTCCTTTTGCTGCAACAAAATGAAAGGTTTGAAACTATATGTGATACAAATGAAAGTCTTGAATAAAGTTTGCAAAAAAATAAAAGATTTGGAATTACAGCTGCAATTATCCCTTTAATTAAAATGATAACATTTACCCATATTCAAATCCAATCTCTACATATGAAATTTGTTCATCCAACAAACATACAACACCTTTTGAATTATAAATTATTCAATGCAAATATTATGACATTAACACACTATTATTCGCGCATGACTATATTGAAAATTTTGCGACTGGTATTTCATTCAACTTATTTCATAGAAACTATAAATTTAATATTAACTTGTTTTACCTAATAATTATTTTTTTAGCTCAAAGATGAATTATTAATGTTGACCTCAGAAAATGAACTCAACAGATGTCGGGACCACTCATGCATACGTGAGCCATATCCAGCACGCTAAGACAGATCCACGGTCGAGATCACTCCAAATATTGGATATGGGAGAAGCTCAATGGCACGAGACGTTTTCGTTAGGACTCCGAAAGGGTTTACAGAACAAGACTATATGATGATCAATCTATGAAAACAATGTTTGTAGTTATAGTAAACTTGATCGGAGAATGAAATATTTTGGTTTTTAGTACTTAGAATTTCATTGGCCTTTCATTGTTACATGGTGGGGGTATTTATAATGTTACAAATGGAATGGTGACCCTTGGATCAACTTACACGTGGCCTCATCTCCTTGATTAAAGTATCAGATCCTAACCATCATGTTGACTTAACTAGATTTACAAAGCATTAAATGCTCTTAAATTGACAAGACGAGACACACTTTTTACAAGGGTCACATCAATCATTTGTATGGAGATCTTCATCATAATCAAATCCTTGCACGTGGGCCGTCGCGAGCTGGGAGCCTGCACTTAGGCCTCTGCTGATAGCAGAACCTCGGATTTAAGAGGTGCCTTAGAAGTAATTGGGCCTTTGCTGACGCAGGGTCTCGGTCTATACAGAAGCAAGGCCTAGGTTAGGGTGGTCGGTCCGGATCAGGTCCCACATATGAATACTGATGGCCAAGTGGCAGTCCCTAGAGATGAGTCGTAACAATAGTCCCCGAAGTCCATGTGTGATTATTTATGTCATGCATGGACTTTAGTAATTAAATGTCGAAAATTTTTGAAATTTTAATTTTGTATCCACTATACGACCTGATGGCCACGTGGCAGTCCATAGAGTCGAGTCGTAACAATAGTCCCCGAAATCCATGTGTGATTGTTTATGTCATGCGTGGACTTTAGTAATAAAATGTCGAAAATTTTCGAAATTTTAATTTTGTATCCACTATACGAGTCCCCCAAGTCCATGTGTGATTATTTATGTCATACATGGAGTTTAAAAATTGGTAGAAACTCGGCTTACTGAAATGCTTATTGAAGCTTAAATTCTTTTTAAAACTGAGGTGAGTCCATTGTTGAATTGGCCGAGGTTGAAATACTTATTGAAACTGAAATTCTTTTTGAAGTTGAAGAGAGTCCATAGTTGAACTAGCTGAGGCTAAAATGCTTATTGAAGCTGAAATTCTTTTTCAAGCTGAGGAGAGTCCATAGTTGAACTGGCCGAGGCTGAAATGCTTATTGAAGCTGAAATTCTTTTTGAAGCTGAGGCGAGTCCATAGTTGAACTAGCCGAGGCTAAAGCTGAATCGTGAAGTCTATGGTGGGTATTGGTGCACGTGATTTGACGGTTTCACGTATTTCCAAGGTGGAGTAGCTGCATCGAAACAACTTCCAATACGCGTACGGCCATTGTATTAAATGTAGAATGATGGCTAATTATGAGCATGCTTTATTTGAGGGGGTTGCTTACGCGCTAAGGCAAAGCGTGATTTCCACGAATTAATCTGGGACGTTGGTAGCACAAACTGTTTGAATTCTACGGCTTGGATTGAGAGCAAATTTAGACGTCTCAGATTAGATAGGTCTTTGATCTAATGGCTGGGATTCAATCTCCTATGTGTGTAAAAATCCAAAAAACTTGTTATTTGGGAATTTTTCTTTGCAAAATATTGTTCGTATTCTCTCCAATTTGAGTTATTCCCAGTCTCCTGGCCACCATTCTCCGACGAATCTTCTGAATCTTCATTTGTAGGTATTTCCTTAGGCTCTTGCGACTTCTGTTTCATCTTTTTGTTTTCTTCAAAGAAGCATGGCTTCTGAAACTTGCATGCCCATTAAGGTAGAGAGGTCCGGTGAAGAATCGACATCTGTTGGGTCGGATGGATGGTATAGTATGACGGAGGAACCCATAGATTACAAGGCTGATTGGGGGGCTGCCAAAATTCCATCTTCCATAACCTCTTCAAAATTAGTGGAACTTAGGGATACATATTGTATATCTCACTACATAGTGTTATTAATTCCCGAGGCCTATGAACGAGCTTACTTTCTGAGGCCAGGTTGCGTGGCGATCAGTGAATTTCTGCTCAAAGTAAGGATTCGTCTGCCTCTACACCCTTTCTTTAGGGCGGTACTGAGAAGCTTTATGTTGTCACCTACCCAAATATTGCCAAATGGGTGGAGCCAATTAGTGGGGGCCTATTTTCTCTAGAAGGAGGTCTCTTTAGGAGAGGACCTCCCCTACATGTTTTTCAAACAATTTTCCAAACCCGAGTCGTGGGGAAGGATGACTCCATGGGATGGTACTACATCACTCATTGGGTGGCTCATACTCCTTTCATAGTGGGGCTCCCTACCTCTATTAAGGGGTGGAAGGAGTCTTGGTTTTGGGTCAGAGATAGGTGGCAGGTGGTCGAGGGAGACATCGTCCCAGCCTGTACTGTGCCGACCCAGTACTACAAAGCGCGCGAGTACCTCGTTTTGAAAATTTAAAATTTTCATCCAACTCTTTGGTGCTGATCTTTTTATTTTGTTTAACTGCAGACTTTAGTTCCAGGTACAAGCTCCAAGAGCCTGAGTAGGATGTAATTGAAGACATATATAAATGATCTTCGATGCTCAGAAGCTTTGCACACCTTCTCGACCGAAGCTGCTACTTTTTGGACTTCGGATTGATGGCTTTTAAGGGTAAGATGCCTTTTTACTCGTGGAAGTTTAAAATTATCAATTCATAGTGTCTAACTTTTGCCTTTATTGTTGCAGACAAATTTGCGAAGAAGGAGTACCCAACTCCAGATATGGCCACTATCCTCATGGTCACGGCCACCACTGGCACAAAACCACTAAAGCCCTCCTCCTCGAGGGCGAAGCAAGTAAGAACGAGGTTACACCACCTCAACAAAATCCAGGCAGAGAAAGGAGCAGAGAAAGAGGCTTCTAAGAAGGCAGAGAAGGTTGTCGATAAGGGCAAGGGAAAAATGGAGGAGCTTCGGAAGAAGAGGAAACTTGGTCATACAAGTGGGGCTGCGTCCAACTTTAGGACCACCACGGCTCATGCTGAAAAGGGAGAGACCCAGCAGTTAAAACTCCTTCAATCATCCATCAAGGCTGGCATGGTGGAACAATCTAGGAGATCCAATAAGGGGACCAATAAAGAAATATATGTAGCCTTTGAGGTGCCCAAGAATGGGCAAGTTGAGATGACCCCAAGGAAGTCTAGGAATTTTCTGGCTGGAAGAGATGACAAGATTGCCCCAGCCATTTTAGAAATGCTGCCCACAAAGGTTTGGGGGTGCCACAGTAAATTTTAACAATTTTGGACTGAAAGGTGGCAGAATTACGTGGCCACCTATGATACGGTGGATCTCACTATGACTTTGGTGAGCCAAACGAGGAGGGCTTTTGGAGTAGCCTTGGACCTCACTATAAACTCAGGTACTCAGGAAGTTTTATCTGAACTATGAACTCAGGAAGTTTTATCTAACATCTAAAGGAAGAATCGAGCCTCCTATGAGAAATTGGAGTTTGCTAAGGCAGAAGCGAAGAAAAGAAAGGCAGAGGTTGATGAGCTGAAGGCCCAGAAAACGGAAGATGAGGCCAAGTTAGCCTCTGCCTTCGTTGAAATTGAGGCCTTCAAGAATGAGGTGTATGAATCTCAGTGTGAGGTAGCTTCTCTTACAAAAAAGGTGGAGACTTTTGATGCCCACCAGAAACTGACTACTGAAGCTTTAGAGAAAACAATTGGAGCTTGCTGACCACAAAAATGGGAGCCAGTTTATGGAGGATCAAATTCGATGGTATTACAAGGAGGTAAAGATCCTGGAGGCTGAGGCTCAACAGGCTGGTAAAGTGGTGGTGAAGAACTATATAGCCAACTTTCACCTGACTGAGGAGTACCAACGCTCCGCCATTTATTAGAGGAGGTATGCATACAATGAGATGATGGACAGGGTTGAGGCACTTTACCTAAACTCGATACTTTTGACTTGAGGGGAGAATTTATTGATGAAGAAGTAACCCATACCCCGACAGAAGAAGCTGCTGAGGAAGCCCCAGTAGAGGGAGCTTCGAAAGAAGTACTAGTGGAGGGGGCTTCAGAAGTGGCGACTGATGCACCTACCGTCGATTCACAAGCTCCTCCACCTCCTCAGCAGTAGCGTAGAATAGATTAAGTTTTGTAATGCCTTTGGGCCTCCAATTGTATTCTTTTTATTTCAATGAATGAAATTTCTTCATTTCCCATTGTTTACAACTTTGTCATTTTGAATTAAAGTAACTAGACTTCCACGATATAATAGCTATGTTGAACTGCTTCGACAAACTACAGTCTGAACATCGTCTGAACTGAGCCTAATTAATCGAATCGAAACTGATACGAGCTAACTGAACTGATTTTCCTTTAATTATTTATTCTTGAACAAATTAATACCTAATTTGGCTTACCGAATTTGAGCTTCTCCCTTGACATTCAGCCTCATCAAAGGGAGGCATGTGATGTATGCCTCGGAGTTCAAACGAGGTTGTCCCTTTAGGGACTGGATCCTCTCATCCGATGTGCCCACGCTTCTTTGCATGGTGGATGGTTCATCCATGCAAAGCGCCCACGCTTCCTTACATGGAAGATGGTTCATCCATGCAAAGGCTTCTCCCTTGATGTTCAGCCTCGTCAAAGGGAGGCATGTCCTGTATGCCTAGGAGTTCAAAAGAGGTTGTCTATTTCAGGACTGGATCCTTTCCTCCAATGATCCCTTGCTTCCTTACACGGTGGATGGTTCACCCATACAGAGATTTCTCCCTTGACGTTCAGCCTAGTCAAAGGGAGGCTTGTGCTGTACGCCTCGGAGTTTAAACGAGGTTGTCCCTTTAGGGATTGGATCTTCTCATTTGATGCACCCACGCTTCCTTGTATGGTGGATGGTTTACCCATACAAAGGCTTCTCACTTAACGTTTAGCCTCGTCAAAGGGAATCATGTACTGTACACCTCGAAACTTAAACGAGGTTATCCCTTTAGGGACCGGATCCTCTCCTCCGAGAAGCCCACGCTTCCTTGCATAGTAGATGGTTCATCCATGCAAAGGCTTCTCCCTCGATGTTCAACCTTGCCAAAGGGAGGCATGTGCTGTACGCCTCGAAGTTCAAACAAAGTGTCCCTTTAGGGACCAGATCCTTTATTTCGAGACACTCACGCTTCCTTGCATGGTGGATGGTTCATCCACGATAAGGGTTCTCCCTTAACGTTCAGCCTCGTCAAAGGAAGGCATGTGCTGTACGTCTCGGAGTTCAAACGAGGTTGTTCCTTTAGGGATCGGATCCTCTCCTCCGAGGCGCCCACAACAATCTTTCCTTAAACACAAATTTTATTTATTTACAAAGGCTGGGAAAAACTTCTAGTAGTGGGATACATTCATTGGTAATACATTCGTAAATACTCGATGTTCCATGGATGGGGTTGGACTTTTCCATCCATATCTTTAATCCAATATGTACCAGGTCAGATCTCTTTTTCGATACGATAGAGTCCCTCCCAATTTGGCCCAGGGTGCGTACTCCTGGTTCCTTAGAAGACAAAAACACTCTCTGGAGCACCAGGTCATTTGCTCGGAAGGACCTTTTCTTCACCTTGGCATTATAGTACCGAGTCATCTTCCTTTGGTAGGCTACCAGGCTCACCTAGGAATCATCCTTCTTTTCTTCTAGGAAATCAAGTTCACACCTTCTGAAGTCATCGTTTGATATCTCATTGAAACTCAACCTTCGAGGGGAAGGCAATCCTACCTCTACGGGGCTCATGGCCTCGACACCGTAGGTCATGGAGAATGGAGTCTCTCCAGTTGGTGTCCTGCTTGTAGTTCGGATTGTCCACAGCACTTGGGATAATTCATCCACCCATGTCCCTTTAGCTGTATCAAGATTTCTCTTCAGAGTATGCTTTATGGTTTTGTTAACATCTTCGACTTGCCTATTAGCCTGGGGATGATGAGGAGTAGAGAAATGCATCCTAATTCCCAGCTCTTTACAAAGATCTCTCACTTTTTTTTTGTCAAATTGCTTCCCATTGTCAGAGACGATCGAGTGGGGAATACCAAACAAGCATATTATGTTCTTCCACAAGAATTTAGAAATGTTGGCTTCAGTAATCTTTGCCAGGGGTTCGGCCTCTACCTACTTTGTGAGGTATAGGGCCAATGAGGTCCACACCCCATTTGCTGAAGGGTCAAGGGCTAGATACTGGAGTTAACTCTTGGGATGGTTGCCTTTGGACATAGGAAAATCGTTGACATTTGTCACATTCTTGAGTAAATTGGATGGCATCATTTTTCATGGTGGGCCAATAATATCCTTATCTCAGTACTTTCTTGGCCAAGGCAAGCCCTCCCAGTGATTTCCACAAACGCCTTCGTGGATTTCTCGAAGTACATAGTTGGCTTTCTCTCCTCCTATACATCAAAGAAGAGGTGAAGAGAATCCACATTTATAAAGAATATTATCAACCAGTATAAAATGAGCAGACCTCCTTCTTAGCTTGTAGGCCTTCTCTTTGCTTTCTGGTAGAACTTGATCTTTGAGGTAGGCTATAAGAGGTTGTATCCAAGTTGGGGTTCCTTTTACCCACATCAGTACTTCTGCCAAGGTGGATAGCTTTTGAAGATGCTCGATTGGCACTACTGTCAACAATTCAGAATCCTTACTACTAGCCCCTTGGACAAAGCATCATCGTGGGCATTTTCGAGGCGTAGGATCTGGTTTAATTTGAATTTCTCAAAAAAAGGGAGCAAGCTCATTACCAATTTGAGGTAGGAGGCCATGGCCTTATCCTTAGCTACGAAGTTGCCATTCACCTGTCCCACAATAAGTTGGGAGTTATTGTTGATGTGAAGCCTCTTTACTTACATTTCCTTGGATAGCCTCAGGTCAGCGAGAAGGGCCTCATATTCTACTGCATTGTTTGTGGCTTTAAATCTGAACCACACAACACTATTCAACTTGTGACCTTCAGGGCTTACGAGTACCACGCCTACTCCTGAATCTGTTTCTCCGATCGAACCATCCACAAACAGGTTCTAGGTGGGATGCTCAATGGGTTCCATAGTTTCGTCCAGTGCAGAGACATTGGTGAACTCTGCTACAAAATTCGCTAGAGCTTGGCCTTTGATGGAGGTCTTAACCTTGAAGAGGACCTCAAATTCGCTTAATTCCACTACCCATTTCAGTAGCCTACCTGAGGCGTCGGGCTTTTGTAATAGTTGCCTAAGGGAAAAGTTTGTCAACACATGGATCGTGTGGGCTTGGAAATAGGGTCTCAACTTGCGGGATGCAATTATCAATGCAGAGGCCAACTTCTCCATATCTAAGTAACGCATCTCAGGGGGTAGCAATGCCTTACTGATGTAGTAAACTGGCAGCTGGGTTGGACCTTCTTCTCTTATAAGTACATCACTTATAGCATCAAGGGAGACGGCCAAGTAAAGTTGTAGAATTTTTCCAAGCTTAGGTTTCGATAGGAGGAGGGCCTGTCCCAGGTGCCTTTTCAACCCCTGGAAGGCCTCTTCACACTCCTCAGTCCAATGGAACTTCTGACCTCCTTTTAACACCTTAAAGAATGGGAGGTACTTATCTATGGCTTTTGATACGAAGCGACTCAAAACGGCCACCCGACCAGTCAAGCTCTGAACTTCCTTCGATTTTTGAGGGGATCTCATCTTAATCAATGCTTGTATCTTTTTAGGGTTTGCCTCTATGCCACGCTGATTGACCACATACCCTAGAAACTTGCCTGAAGCAACTCCAAATGCGCACTATTCAACTTCATGCGATATTTTTGCAAGATTTCAAAGGCTCTACTAAGGTAAGTTATGTGATCACCAACCTTCAAGCTTTTGACAAACATGTCTTCCACATAGACCTTCATTGTGTTACCAAATAGTCCTGTTTACGAGCCTCTGATAAGTCGTTCCAACATTCTTTAGTCTAAATGGCATCATTTTGTAGCAATAGAGTCCTCTATCCGTGATAAATGAAATATGTTCCTCGTCACCTGGGTACATAGGAATTTGATTGTAGTCAGAATAAGCATACATGAATCTTAGAGATTCGTGTCCCATGGTGGAGTCCACCAATTGATCAATTATCGAGAGTGGAAAACTGTCTTTTGTACATACTTTGTTAAAGTCGAAAAAGTCAATGCATACCCTCCACTTTCCATTATGTTTCTTCACTAGGACCGGATTGGAGATTCGCTTTGGGTAGAGGGCCTCCCTGATGAAGCCATTGCTGATGAGTTTCTGTACCTCTTCCTTTAAGGCCTCATA